GGGGAGGGTGTCCGGCGGGAGGGGGGCCGCGCTGCCGCGCCTCTCTAGCGATGACAGCAGCGCCTGTTGTAATCGGAGGCAACGGCTTCTAGGTGCCTGGCACGTTTGCAGGCTAAGCAAAATTTGTACTTCTTTAATACGGTTGCACTGCAGGTGTGTGAAATCAAATACAAGTTCAGACTGCAGAGGAGGGGCCTGGTGTGGTCAGATCCTCTGTTTTGTTGGCCCTGCTGCAGTAGGGAGCTCTGGTTTGCAGTGTACAGCAAAAATTCCTAGCCGTCCATAATTGCGGGACTTTTATGTTCTTAGAGTGATTCCTTTTTTGCATTCGTTTCCATACACTTCTCCCCGTATTACAGAGTGAAAAGTTTCTTGCCTTTTCCTTTTTGCCTGTTTATTCTTTTTAAGTGTTCTTCATAGTAATGGATATATTTGGTAAGATTGGTCCCAGGACCGGTTCTTCAGGACCTTTCCCTAATGTGATAACTGCCCTTCAGAATAACCTTCTCTCTTCCTTTAGCTAGTTGAATTTACATCTTGTATGAATACCTGTGTTTTGTTTGTTTGTTTGTTTTTAAGTTGAAACATGTCCTTCATGACATAATGTGAGATCTTACAGTCTTAAGTGTTTCTTTTGTCTAGAAAATCAGGTATCAGGTTGTCTGATGTGATGTGTTTTTAGTTACCCATGCTGCCTTTTATCCAAGTCTAACATATCTTTTATACTTAAACTTGTTTTTCAATGTGTTGTAACAATGCTTTTTCTTCAGATCTTATTTTAAAATTTTGTATGTTGTAGCGGTTAGATTACTGGATCTTTTGTTATCCGTTCTTTTTTTCCCTTAAATGTAGGTAGTGTAGTTGCTGGGTTTTGCTGCTATGTGGTACTGCTGCTGATTCAGTGCATTTATAAAATATTTCTGTATTTGTAATTTAATGGATGTTTTAGTGCAACTTTAGTACCTAGCTTTGAAACATATACTTATGCCATTTCAAAATGGAGAGTATTCTACAGAATCTGTTCATGTGGCTTGAAAAATAGACTTCTGCCATATAAGTAACAGGCTCATGGGTCATAACGAAGGCAGAAAATATCCAGGCAAACAAATCCACAAAACCACGCTTTGCTACTGTAAAGAAAGGTAGGACAGTTGTATAAATCTTTGTTGTATAAAACATTTGTGATCCACGTTGTTCATGTCAGAGGCAACGTGCGAACTTCTTCAGTTTGCCAGCCCAGTGAAACGTGTAGGGTAGGGAAAAGGGCTAAGAACGAACTTCTTCATAGAACTATATGCTTGGAAAAAAGCCCTTTTAAGAAGAGGTGTGGTCTGCTGAAGTGCTGTGGTGGATTTCTCAGTTCAGATTTCAGCTGGAAGGAGGAGGTACTATCGAGATAGTAACTGCTGGGAGTCCTGGGGAAACTTTTAGTCCTGGGAACATGTAGCAAGGGAACAGGTGGGAGCGTCTTCCTTCTCACCTTCATATACTCACCGTAAATTCTGTTGAAAACCTGTTTCTTAAAGTTTTCTGTTGACTGGGAGATTTTGAAGGCCAGTAGCAATCAAATGCTTTTTATTAAAAAAAAAAAAAAAAAAAAGCAAGCCCAGGGATTTGCTTGCAGTGTAGGCTGTATTAACTTCTTGGAGAGCTGTCTCTTTAGATGATGCGTTTTAAAGGCTAGCCGCCTGCGTGGCTCTGAAGATTCTGGGTGGGTGGGTTTGAGGGAAGTCACACAATTGGATTTCTTGAGTGCAGTAATTGGTGGCACACGGTACAATGTGTTTGTTTTGTGGTCTACAAGAAAAGTGAAGGCAAACATGAATGTATCTTTCTCCATCCAACCAAAGGCATTCCTTCTAAGTGTATCAGATCTGTATCTGTAGTGTCAGTTGCTTTCCTTTTCTGTGTTCCTCTAAGCTATGAATAGATTGTGTTGATTATGGGGAAGTTCTCTGAGCATGGGTGTGTTTGTGGTTTTTTATTTTTGTTGTTTTTATTTTATGTTTTTCATAGTACTGTTTGCTAAATGATGTCTGACTGTTCAAAGGCTAGTGTAGTTTACAAATCTTTTGTAAAAGACTTGTAAATCGGAGGTGGCGTGGGGAAGGTAAATAAAGAATCACTTTTCACTGTCTCTTGTAATACAAAAAACAAAAGACATTGCATGGAACTTGAAAGAATCTTACTCCAAACGAACAGAAAGGCACCACATAGGGAAGCTGTTGAAATCTTTGCTGAAGGATGTTCTGTGTGCCAAAAAAAAAAAAAACCTCAACGCATGGGACAAATATTTAAAAAAAAAGTTTACTGGGACTGTTATATACAAAAACATCATCTCTAGGCCGTGCCTGAGCTACAGATAGCCAGTATCTGGAGAGGATTCAGAAGATTTTCACTGTATGATAATGCTTTTCTTATATTCTTTCAGAGGCATTTACTTCTAACTATTTTTAGAGATGGATTATTGGTTATTAAACCATGGATGTGGTCATCCTTATGTACAGAAACAAAAAAGGCATAGTTCACCTGTGAAATGAAGAAACCCTTTATGACTCGGTTTTAACTCAGCTACAGTTTTACTGTGAGTGGCAGTCAAGGCACTGGAGTTGCTTGCAGACTTGGGAAGGTGATAGTGGTTGGCATTTTGCTTGCACTTCAAAACTTACGTATTGTTTCCAACCCTTATGCAGAGGTAAGAAAGCTTTCTATGGAAGCTAAAAGTTGTTGCTTCTAAAAGGCCGCTTACCTTTGATGTGATTAGTGTGAGCAATGGAATAGTAGTGGCCAGTTTCACTGAGGTGGTGGTTTGTTTTGGCAGTCACAGCTCAAATATTATGTACTTGCAAACGCGTAAGAGGAATGTTCAGGCTGATCATCTTGAAAATCATAAAACTATTTGTTGCATATAGGTTTCTTGAATGTTTGTCATATGTAACCGACATTATGCAAGGTATTTTTACAAAGCTTAATTAGCTGTATTGTACTGTGGTGTTTGATATTCTCTGATAAAAGTAGGGAGCCTACCAAAAAGGATGAGGTGAAGGAGCATGGGAGTTTAGCGTTATTGGTCAACCAGCTTGTAACATTAGTACTTAGTATTATAAACTCATCAGAAGAACTGGTATTTTATTTTAGGAGGAAGTACCAGCTGCAAGTTGGTTCTAGTGTGGCTTCTTGTATATAGTTGCATTTCTCTGTCGCACTGCATTTATATTATTTGGTGCATACATATATGTACTGATCCTGAAAGTTGTAAAACTGTCACTGTAAAGTAGTTCAGAATACTTTTTTTTTTGAATTTTCCAGAGATGAAAAGACTGATAGCCCAAATAATGCTGGAGAAGCTAATAAACCTGCAGAGATGCCCGCACAGAGAAGAAAACGGATCTCTACTCTGCCCAATCTGGCAAAACCCAGAGCTGGACCTTCATCTGCACAACGCTCATCATCAAAACCACAGAGGCGAGCATCTCAAGCTCTTGATGGCAGTGCTTCACTTCAGAAGGATTCCTCTCCATCAGAAAAGACTAATGTTGAAAGATCTCCCAAGTCTCCCATACTGCCTGAAAAGAAAACGCCTGTGCCGCAAGTGCCACAATTCTCCCCGTTTAAAAAATCAGCCAATAAAGAACAAAATGTGGGTGTAGCCGCTCAGAAAAATGATGATACCCTGCAGAAGAATGTACCCTCCCCACTCAAGGAGAGACCAACACAAGAAAGATCGGTGGCACAAGAGGAAAAGCTACCTACAAAACCTACTCCTGTAAAAGCGAAACAAATGTGTTCTGACCGTGAAAGGATCCTCAAAGCTCGGAAGTTAAGAGAAATGCTTAAAGAAGAGCTGAAGAAAGAGCGGATGGTAGGCCTCTGTGCTGGGCAGTGCTAGTGTGAAGGGCAGAGAAAGAAGTGTGATTCACCTAATCTATCGCTTCTCCTTTACAGTAGTGTTTTCTGACAGTGATCAGCTGCTTACTGCTAATAGTCTGTGGTATCTTATGCATCTTTATAGAGGTTTAAATGATTCATAATGGAACATAGTGTTGCTATTGCTTATAATACAGATTAATTTATGAAAAATTGTACACTTCTTCTTAAGACCCACAAGCCTTTTTGACTTGAGGCCTGCCAATATGTAATGGTCAGCATTCCAATTTAAATAACTTTACAGTTGGTACATACAGCAGAGATGTGCGCTGTAAGAAGCGTAGGATGTGAGATTCCTCATATCTTTCAACTTAAGCATTGACTAGGTTGTGTGATGTTCTCATGTCTATGTGCACAGAGTATTGAATTTCTGTGAGAGTTTAAATTACTTAGGGGTTGCTGATGTCCTCTCTGACAAATGGATGCTTCTAAGATAAAATTACTTCAATGGTTGAGAGGAGGAAAATAAAAAAAATCCCTAAATTGCGTGCTTCATAAACAAAGCAAAAATATCTATTTGTGAAGCATAAAGCATTTTCAAGGTGAATTCAAGTGTTTTATTTTTGCACAGAAACAGTTGAAACACAGACCTCCAATAACTGAAGGACGTTCTCCACCAGATCGTTCTAAAATGACTATGAGAGACTTGATATACTACCTGCCGGAAAACAATCCTATGAAGTAAGTATGAGTTTTGGGTTTTTTTTTCTCCCTCCCTCTCCTTAGGTCAAATGATTTTTCATTTTCTACCAATTTAATACCTGTAGAAAGGATTCTTGAATTCTTAAAACTGAAGTATTCTTCCTTAGCTTTAGTGCAGTGGCAAAGTAAACTTATAAACATTTTCGCGTGTGCTCAGTTTTTGTACAGAAATCTTAGCTTTATTCAATTGTAATTTTCATGGCAGCACGTTCCTTCAAGTGGTTGACTCTGTAGATCCATTTGGCATGGTATCGATGGTGCAGGAGATTGTACAAAATCTTACAGATGAGAACCAGACAAGCAGCTATGGACAACTTTGTCTAGCTCTCCTCAAGAGCGTGGTGCTTACTGGAAGGACCATTTCTAACAATAAAGTGTCAGCGATTTCCATCGCTCGCAGAACTTGTTGATCAGTGTAAAGTGGAAATGCTGGTGTGTAGTAGCATTGTTGTACTATCAACTAGCAGCTTATGATGTAAGGTAGAAGGTACTTGTTTCTCAGAGACTAATGGCTGCTGGTCATCCTCGCTTTCCTGTGATAAGGTAGTTTGAACTTTCAGTTGAAAGCGGTGTGGACATTAGTCAATAGTGAATCAACTGGTGATTATCAGCATAGACTCACGGATCACTACTTGAAATCTCTTGCTTTGTCCTTTTAAAATGCCTTGAATAATTAAGACTTGTACAAAAATCCAGCAAAATTCATTAAGCATTCATGTTTGTTCAGTTAGACCAAATCCGGATATGGTACAAAGAACCAAAATATGAAAACTGTGCGTTTCTTTGCTCATTATACACTACAAGCATGTTTAGGGGGTTGTGTTTTATTAGTGGGAAGGAGAAATGTGTCTGCATGAACTTTCATCTCAAGTGTTTTATAAAATTCCAGGTCTTCACTGGCAGAAGAAAAGAGAACAGAAAGAAATTCTGGACTGGGTCAAATGAAAGAGTAAGTCTTGGTGCCTGAGATACTTAGGAGTCAAAAAGATTTTTGTTTTAGTTGGAAAAAAGCATGCTTTCTGTGTTGTAATATTAACAATGTACGTCTTTGTTTACTGTTTCAATATTGTAGCCCTTACTTAAAACAAAATGTGATTTGGGAGTGGAGCATGGTTAGAGAGCATTTTGTTTCAATATGATGTTCCTGGGTCGTTTGTTCATTGTACAGGGGAATGAAAAACAGTCCAGACTCTTTGTTGATTACATTGCTAGTGGACTATATTATTGAGTGGTTCTTTAAATTATTGAACATCTGCTGTACTGAGCAGCAATTCAAAACATTAAAAAAAGTAATGATTTTGGTTGGACTCTTAATTGTAGACAGGAAGAGAAAAGTACTCCTGATCATGAAGAGGAAGATGAGGAGGAGGAAGAAGAGAACGGGGAGGAGAGTCAGGATGGTCCACTTCTAGTTCCTCGTGTGAAAGTAGCAGAAGATGGCTCAATTATTCTGGATGAAGAAAGGTACTAGATTCTGCGCCTTGACTCATGGACAATATATACTAGTCTACTGCTTGGTTTCTGAATAAAGAACAGTTATTTTGAACAGGGACAAACATGAGTGTGTTGAATTTGCTGAGAGTCAAGCTTTCCTAATTTAGAAAACAGTGCAAATATATGGCAAAATATGAGCAGCCGTTATCTACGTCACAGTAGTGGCATACTTACTGTGAGAAATGGATTATTGGAGAAGGAGGGAGAGGAAGATGCAATGTTTTTATTGGAGTGAACGAATGGTGAAAATTTGTCAAACTCCCAAATATCTTTTAGTTCGCTCCTTTTTTTTTTTTAATCATAGTTGCATGAGCCTGCTCATTGCTATTCTGTTATCAGCGTGGTTTGCTCCAGCTTTGTTATCTTGAACCGTGTTGCTCTGTTCAGGTGTCAGTGTTTTTGGTAACTTTGCTTAGAATGGTATGACTTTTCTAAAATATTAGAGTATCAAATTACTGACTTTCTAAAAATCTGAAAAATTCATTGATAAACATCAGCAATGTGTCTTGCTAGCAATGTTTTCAGATAAGTCTCTTGTTTGCTGTTCCAGTTTAACTGTAGAAGTATTAAGGACAAAAGGTCCGTGTGTTGTAGAAGAAAATGAACCCATCTTTGAGCGTGGCTCTACAACTACATATTCCAGCTTCAGGAAAAGTTTTTACACAAAACCATGGTCCAATAAAGGTGAGTATATTTTTGGTTTCAAGTTTTGAGTCTGCAGAAAAAGCTTAGTTTTCCACAAATGCTCTGTACTTGCAGCTTTTATTCCCAGTGAAGTTCATGGATCTATTTATGTGTGACAGTCTCAGTCCGCAAACTCTTATAACAATCAGAGCGCTGATATTTGCTGTGAAAATAGGCATGCTTAAAATCCAGTGTCCTGTGATATGTAGGATACCTGTAACTTGATTCTGTCTTGGACTGTTAGGTGCTGTGGAAGTGCTAATGTGTCCTTTTATCAAAGGCTAGTTTTAGATTCTAGTATCAGGATATTTGAGCTGCTTATGGAACAATTAGGAATTTTTAACAGCTTCCCTGCTTGGTTCTTCCAGTATGGGCAGGAATACGTGATATAAGCTGTCTCTGCATGGGCTGATAGTTGTCAATATGCACAGAAGGGTTTTTATGTGATTGTTTTCTTTTTTGATTTTGAGCCTGCTGTGAATTGGTTATTGTCTTTAGGCTTGCAACTTGTTTCCAGCTTACAACAGCTGGAAATACTTTTTAAAACTGTAGATGGAAAACACATATATATACACACACATGTACATGCATATGTACGTTCATATAAATGTGTATGTACACATATGTGTATATATACGTACGTGTGTGTGTGTATATATATATATATAAAAGATGCTTTATTCAAACTTGATTTTGCTGAAATGAGTAGTGTTAGTAGGCCTAATTCTTCACTAGCTGGTGGGAAATGTTGGTTGCTTATCTAAATAACTTCTTAGCAGGCATATTCTCTTTCAGTGAATTGATGTATGAAAATGGGAGAATACAGAATTATAATGATTAGTTTGATATACCTTTGCGTTATGTTTCTCATTAATGTTGGGATGATTTAATGTGATAATTAAAAAAAAAAAACTTCAAATTTTAACTATGTAACTTTAAATTTCACTGGGATACTCCAATTCACTCAATTTGCAGCCCTGTTAGATAACCTAAGGGTACATTGTAATCATAAATTCTCTGAATCTGTAGAACCAAAACGTGGTGTCTTCTGCAAGTTATCTACCTAGCTGTATTGATAGTTTGGAAAATGTTTTATTTTAGATAGTAAGAAGGATGATAACTGTAAGTACTCTGAAATACTATCTGTCTTATCTTCTTTTCCCCAGAGACAGATATGTTCTTTTTAGCTATCAGTATGGTAGGAACAGACTTCTCCTTGATTGGGCAGCTGTTTCCTCATAGAGCCAGAGCAGAAATTAAGGTAAAAATTGAAGTACTCAATCAAGTAATTAAACATCTATTTTCACTCTTCTGTTTCTTGTTTGCTACTCTTGTTTTTCCTACTAGTATTGATAATTTTGATGCTAATTGGCTCTGGAGTAATGCTTTTAATAGCCATTTGCAGGAAGTAATAACTGTCTGAAATATGAACATGCTGGGTTGCATTCTGATCACCATATTTAATAAGCAAATATAGCTAGTCTCGATTGAAAAATGCTGATAGTGGATGAAGTTTGACATTCTTTTGTGTTACCTCGCTTGGTATCCAACTAGTAACAACTTCTGGATTTCAACCTCTGCCTAGATTGGAAGTAACAAGGACGGCTGGAGGAAGATGTGGAAAATAACCAAAAATAAGCTAATGATACATATTGATGATAGAAAACAAATTGTACAAAAATGAATGACAAAAACTTGTGTGTTCTGTGAGCATGACTGTAAAACTTAACAGCTTCAGTTCCGAGAAAATTTTATTACTAGAAAAAAGTTTATCTTGACCTGTGTTGTACAACAGCTATATTGTTGCATTTCTTGGTTATTTAAAGATAAACATAACTTTATTTTTAGAATAAGTTCAAACGTGAGGAAAAAGCAAATGGATGGAGGATAGACAAAGCTTTCAGTAAGTAAAGAAAATGCACTGCACCCCGCAATGAGTCAGTTAAATGTAGTCATCTTTCTTTGCCATTTTTGTGCTTTCCCCTGCTTAAACTAATCATAGGAAAAAGTTTTTGCTCATAAAGGAATTTAGAAGTTGGGAGACTCTCAAAAATTTTTATAACAAGTATGATTCAACAGTAAGATCTTTAGGTTTAATTTCTGGCTTTGTATTGATCCAATACATGAGTTTAATGTAAACTTTCAGGTGAAGATTCTTCTGATTCACTGGAATTTAGAGCCCAGTTACTAACTGTAAACTGCTTTGAGAATCTTTGAATGCTTTGCTTGTTTTTTGAATGGGCCGCATAAGTCTTAGATTAGCACATTAGTTCATTATTTGATACTATGGTACAATTTGTGTATTTATCACTTCTCAGATTTTCTAAACTGCTAAGTATTGTACCCTTTCTGCTATCTGTTTTTCAAAAACCAAGCTACCACAGTCCTTATCTGTCACCTCTTCTCTACTTTCTGCTCAAGTGATATTCAAAAAGAGTTCTCTGTGTAAATATGTAATTGTTTCTTTTTAATATCATAACATGTACCAGTGATTATTTTACAAAAGCAGAAATTTTGAAAGATGATCAGCTCCAAAGTCTTTTGCTTTTCTTTGCTTTAATTGGACAGAAGAAAAGCGGCCCTTTGATTTTGAGTTCTTTGCTCAGCTGCTTGAGAAGGTCTTGGCAGATGAGGAGAAGAGGAAGCAAAAGACTGTTAAAAGCCAGAAGCCAAAAGAAAAGAGGCCGTCAAGGCCTCGGAAGAAACCAAAAGGTACTTCAAAAGAACAGAGGAGTGGTGTTAATGTTGCTTCAGTAATATATCACTAACAAAGTAAAAATCATGTAGGGCATCTCTTCCTTCCCTGTTCTGAAGAGGGCAAGAGAATCCAGGATTCATAGTGTAATTCTTTTTCAGATGTAGTTTGCTTTGGTGCAGGATGGTAATAATTGTTTGCAACCGATTTCTTGAGGGGCGTTTTCTCTAGGCCATGCTAAGATTGCTGCTCTTCCAGCATCTGAAGCACTGAACTATTAAAAGGAATATTTAAATTTAATAATTAATAAGTATCTTCATGAGTTGCTGGTCAACTCACTTTTTAGAAACCTTGAGCCAAAGCCTTATTTTTGGAGCACTGTTTTCTTCTGTGACTCTTCATTTAAATTTTAACTCTTTTTTTTTTTTTTTAAAGATGCTGTTTCTCCTTTAGCTGCATTTTGACCCCTAGACTCTGAAGATTATAATTCTTTTCAGGGAATCTTGTAAAAACTGTTTTACTTTTCTTGTCTGTTTAAAATAAAGTATAAATATTATGCTTAATTACGGCTGATCGTTGTAATAGTGTCTTATTACTTCAGTACCTGTGAAAGGACTTTTCACAGATGCATTTAAATTAAAAACAATTGTACTGACATAATTTGATTGAATTTTGTGGATTTTTTTTCTGAATATGTGTTCTTAATACCATTAACAAGAAAATGGGTTCTTGTGGAAGAAACAAGTGAGTAGCTCTTAAAAGGGATTCTAACTAGCAAGTAACATCTCAATTTAATTCTTAAAATTGAATTGATTGTTGCTTTGCTCTAGCCTTGATTTCAGGTCTGATTTAGTAAAAATGTGCCATGCAGCAGGTTTTATAGTTGCATGTCAAAATTATGTTCCTAGTCTTTAATTATAGGTTAATTGTTCTTTGTGTATAAAACAATGTGAGCATGCTTTCCTAGTCTTCCTGGATTTTGGATTTCTTAATTACAGGGGAACAAGTCATTATAAGAATAATAAAAAGGGTGGGGAAAAGTGCTTGTCTGATGTTCTACGCAAATACAAGATGACGACCAAAGTGTTCTGGAAAAGAGAGGGAGAAGAATTTCAGAAGCTGGTTAAAGCAGGAAAAGAGCTTACAAATTTTTAGCTAGATAATAATTGAGCTTTCTTATGCAAGTAAAAATGATTAACTGGAATAAATCTCTTGATCAAAATTGCTTTTTCATGGCATGCTTTATGCAGCCATAGTTACCTTCTTCTGCAGAGACAGGAAAATTGTTTTCAGGGATGTCAATGCCTATTTTTCCTGGACCTAAAAGTGGCTGCATAACTTTTTAGAAAGTATTGGAAGAAGAACATTTGCTTAATACATCCTGTATTGCCTTTACACTGATGGAAGTGTTGTCTTATGCACAGAACTCGTTATTTTGGTTAATCTGTACTGAAATTTTTCTTTCTAGTCAGTGACTGACTTCTCATGGACCTGCTTCGGTGCCTAACAATGTATCGACACCGATGCATACATTCACAAGATATTGCTATTGGAAATATCTTTGAGATTTATGGCTCCTAATGCTCTTATCAGCCTATTAATCAGGAACCATACTGTCTCAACAGCGAAAGCTGCGAGTGCAGAAGCTGCCAGTGATCAAGATAATTCTCAGAAAGCCACAGTTTCTGATGCAGAAACAGAAGCAGATGCTGTGATGGCTGAGAAGGAGAACGAAGAATCTTTGGGTGTTTCTGAACAGACAGAAGAACAGGTTGCATTAGAGCCAGCGTTAGCAAAAAAGAAAAGAAAAAGGAGGAGAAAAGATGAACTTGAAGAGGAAGTGGAGAATCTTCCAGAAGAAATGGCAGTCCCTTCGAAAATTGCTGTGGAAGGGAAATCCTCTAAGAAAAGTAAGAGACGAAAAATGCTCAGCTGTAAATGATCAAATGCAAAGTTTATGTAAAGATGCTGTGGTCTTAAAAATGAGAACTGGGATTTTGTTTTGTTACTGATCTGCCTTGAAAGGTTGTAGAACTGTGCCTTCCAAGAAGTCAGCTCTCAAATGTTCTATTTAATTTCAGCTGAGAGCAATTCTCTTAATTCTGTGTAATTTCTGCTAGGATTTTTGTTGTTCTTGATTAAATCTTGCTTCACAGTAGCTGGTATGTGAGAATTGGAATTCTGTGCTGTTACCTAGAATGTTCAAATTGATTTCATCCTTACTTGTGAGCAGGAAAAAGTTCAGTCTGTTGTGCAAACAGTGATGGTCTTACTACCTTAGGAGAAGAACTGGACAGTGTTACTGAAGAAAAGCAAGATGAGACTGCTGTTGTAGAGGAGGAGAAATCAGAGTCCTGTTTACCAGTGGACAGCGTAACTGAGGGAGAAAGTGATCTCAATTTATGCAGGTAATTTTTGCAGTAGAAAGCTTAGGCAAAATAAGAAATGGCTTATTTTTTAAAACTGGTTCAATTTGTTGACTCTTACCATCGTGTTAATTGACATAGATGGGCAGGTTTTTTGATTTCTCAGAACTATGAAGGTGTGCCCTCCTGTGTTTTAGTCCTTTGCTTTCAATTTATACCCTCAATGTATTCTCTGCCCTGGTGCTCTCCTTGTAAATCAGTTTACATCTATATTAAAATCCTATCCAAAATTACTTTCTTTTCTGGGGGAGGTGTGCTTGAAAACTGGCTTATCCTAAATATTTGCTTAAAACTCTTAACAGTACTTACTAATATTTCTCTCAAAAAGAGTGCTTGGTAGTGTTGCTACGTAGTGTTGCTACACACTTGAAATTTATATCTGTTTTCTTTAATAGAGGTTTCCTTGTGAGAAGGGAAAATTTCTCAGATTTTTCTTGTGCTGAACTTATGCCTTGGGTCGAGAGGCAAGATTTTCGTCTCAATTTTGGGCATTCTTTTACTAGAAAGAATGTGAATATTTGTGGAGTTTTTTTGTATATATAAAAGTAGTAAATCTAAAAACTTGTTGTGAAGCTGTTGGTGCTGCTTCAGAATTTTGCATGTTAAGTGCTCTATATAGTTATATTGTAATTATTTGCTATTTTCATACAGTTTTCTCAAAGCCTCTATGGACTTGAATTCCTCACAGGAAGCATATGGAAGAACAGTAATTCTTATCTTTGAACTCATTGTAGGCTGTTATGGAAGATCAGGGAAAATCTTTTGCAGACAGTGTTTTAAACTATAAAGTCTGTGTTTAAGCTTGTATCTGTGTAAAACATTCAGATGGTATTTTTAACTTTTCTTGTAATGGCATTGCAAAAGTACAAAAGTGGTTTTAAAGCTCGTCTTATGGGGATATCACTAAAGTTTGTCAGGTTCTCTAAAACGTCTGTAACTATCTACTCTGTAGAAATTGCATACTGCTGTAAATCTAAATTTTACTGTGCAACTTGATCTGTAAACAACATGAGCTTTCTATTGAAATACATCTACGTTTTCATGTGCTTTTATTGATTTTAGCTTTCAAGATGGCAATGATAGTATGCTAGAAACAGAATCTGCTAAACTGAGAATGCTAGATATCAGAGATGAGGTACCACAGGAAAGCCAGCTTTCAAAGTTCCCAGTTTCAAAGCTTAAAAACAAAGAAAGACAGTCTGAAGAAACTGCGGAAGCAAAGGTATTTTTATTTTTTAAGTAATTCTGTCTTCTTTAGATCTTCCTGTTTACTATTAGCTATGTTCATGTAAATCAGGTATAGTTTTGATATGTTTTTGTAATGCTTTACCACTTGGCATGCAAAAGGCGACAAACCTGAGGCTATCAACAACATTTTAAAGCCAACCAAATTGACAGCGTTTGTTTGTTTTGTTTTGCTTTTGCTATACTAAACTTATTCAGAGAGTATAATGCTCATATTTGGCTTATCCCATAGATAGTTTAAACATTTAAACAGTTTAATTATTCAAAATTGAAGCACTATAATATCAACAGTGAAATTTGATGTACTACCTTGGAGCAGGTTTCTGCTGACTTGCATGTACTAGTGTGATGTTGACAGCTGATTTGGGTGGGAAGAGTGTAGGGTTGTTTGTGTTGCCTCAAAATGTAGGCCTCTGTATCCTCTCACCCCTGGCCGGTATGAAATGTTTCAGCAAAACTGTGGGAAACTGGACCGAGATTGAATGATCTTTCCTCAGGTATGCTCTAATCAGTACTGGCAGTTTAGGAACTTCCTGAGATTGCATCTGGCTTCTTTCAGAGCCAATGATGGACCTCTTATCCACCAATTTGTCTAGCTGACTTTTTGTATCTATCTGTACTTCTGTCATCAACTGCATACTACAGCTGATAATTCCTTATTTTGTGCACTGAATGAAAAAGTATATTCTTCAGATTATTTTAAGCCTGCTGCCTGGTGGCTTAATATGATGCAGTCTGCTTCCATTATTATATTCCTGTTCATCTTCTCCAAGCTGTCCTTGTTATTACTGCTGTGCTGTTTTCTCCAGTGTTATCTTTTTCAAGCTGAAGAGTCCTAATCTTAAATTTCTCCTTATATGGAAAATATTCTGTTTCTCTGATCGGTCTTCTATCCTTGTATCCCTAACTCATTTTTGGAACTCATTATCATCCTGTTTGAAGACCTGTGTATGGGAGGAATGAATTAATTTTCCTCTTGTGCTTTCTAAGATGAAAAATAAGATTATGGATGAAGTTTAGCGTGAGAGATCAGGAAATTCTAAGTGTTAACATCTCCCTAAGGTCATGTGCAAGTTATTAGTGCTTTGGCCTCTATTTTACATTCTGGTTCCTAAAATTTCTTCATTCTTAATAGAAAATGAACTGCTTAAGATCTTCGTAAATACTAAATGCTTGTAGTGGGAAGTGTTAGAACATTGCATTCTCCTGATATTTTTTGGTATAATATTTGTAAAACATAATGAACTGAACAGGGCAAAGTGCCATGTACATCAGCTGAGCATAGTGAAGTAGCTAAGCTTTCAGAGTAATTAATTGTGGCTGTTTGACATGAAGTCTTAAAACCTTCCAAAACTGGTAATTTCAGAAGCTCAGCTATTCAGTTACAATTATTTTGGCCTGCTATGGTTAATTTATATTAAAACTAATAGAACACAATTACTGACTTAATTTGAAATAGCCAGCCAGCCAGTGGGAAACATGATTCTATTAACATGATGAAAAAGTGACTAAAGAAGAGAAAATATCTTTATTCAATAGATGTTTATCTTAATGCACTAAATAAATTCTATATAAACTTTGCTGTGTTTTCTAGGCTGTGTTGTGTTTTTTTTTTTTTTTCCCCCCTTCATTTTCAGAATTACGGTCAGTCATCTCTGAGAAAAAGATTTAAATACTGGACCTGGAAGCTAGAAATAGCTGTTACTTCCTAAAGAGTCTGTTATCAGCTTCACCAAATTAAAAGACAGAGGAGCCTTGTTCATATTTCTGCTTGTCATTATCTTACGGCAAAGAGTTCCTCAACGTTGCAGAGCTGAAGTGATAAACACTTGTTTGTTTCCTTACTCAGGACAAAGATATATATGACTCATGTAAACCAGATGAAAAGGAGAATGCATCAGACAGTGATTTTCAATCTGAAATAATGTGAGTAGAATTATTTTACCTTGCATTAGTACTTAAGCTAAACCTGCATTTACTTAATTTGGATATAAAGTCTGTTTAATCAGGCTAAGATTAGATGGTGGAGCATGATAACTTTTCTTCCTTATTCAAGAAGGACTTTTGATAGAAATTTTGATTGCTGAGGAGTGATGCTTTGACCAAAACTTAGAATATTACCTGGGAATGAGGAGAAAGACTTGACGAAGCTTAGAAGAGTTAATCCTTCTACAATCAGTAACGGCAAGAGAAATTTCTCTAAAGAAATTTTGCCGTTTTGTATGGGAATGTCAGTTATGATCGCTGGTTTAGAAAAGGGCATTGTTGGTTTCCTTGAAACTGGTAGATGTCCATCAGAGCTCATTAGCCGCACACCCCACGTGTATAATGTATTCATACCTTTATAATTGGACACTGTTGATCTTTGGAATTTAATGCAAGAGTCTAAGTTGAGATATACCTCTCTGGAAGGTACTCTATTTCTGTCTTGACTATTCTCCTTTATGAAGTTAATCTTTGTGACTATTTCTAACAGGAATACCTGTGACTGATTAGTGGCATTCAATCCTCTTGTGCACCTAAGGTTTCCAGTTTGTATGATCATAGACTTAAAAATCCGCGGTATGATTCTTTAAAGTTGATTTAGAGATGGAATTCTAGTTAACGTTTAGTTAGTAGCACTTCTAAATATGAAAGTTTCATCCTTCTGTCCTTTCCTTGTTGAAGGACAGGTCGCTCCTGATTGTCACAATTTTATTTCCTCTATCCTAGGAAACAGATAAGATAAGGTAGTAGTTCCCAATCAGAGGATTATTGATGATATTACCAATAACCTTATTGACTCTGGTAAACAGTGTGCGGAACTGGGAAACTCTATTGCAGTCATTAAGGATGCAGAGATTGTTACGTGCATCTCACTTTTCAAGAACGTTTGGGCATTGGCAGTGGGACAAAGAGTTTGAAAACAGCAGATCATAGTTCTGTGAGTGGGATAGCTCTGAAAGGGGAGGAACGGGAAAGGGAGACAGAAAATTTTGTATATGAAGTAAATCTCTTGTACTTTTGAAGCAGATTTCTATTGTTTCTGGTTTTAGTTTCTACTGACGTCAGTAAGCCTGTTCTTACTAGCTTCAATTCTGAATCCCTACAGAAAGAGGTATTTCAACTGTAGCAGCAAGAGACTCTTCCTTCAGGTATTTTTAAGTTGGATTCCACTGAAAGGCAGCAAAGGTTTTGAGGTTTACTTGAGATTCTGTCCTTTAAGTAATAGCATATATTCTAAGAATGATCTAATAAACTGACAAAAACCGTATCTTTATTACCCATTCAGTCTGTGCTGCTCTTTAAGTATATCTCGGACCATATGAAATGTTAGTTTTCTCTGGTAATATAAAACCCCTCTTTTCATACCTTAAGGGAAGCTGAAAAGCCAGCACCCAAAGGGCGTTTTCAAAGACCTAAACCCAATTTAGCAAAATCATCTGGAAGGAGAGAAGCAGCAACCCAAGAAAAACTGGAGGCTGAGACTTCCTCTCCAAAGCTTGTGAATGAAGCTGAAAAGGTTAGAAGGAGAAATGTTGCTTAATATGCTATGCTATTGATATTGTATCCGTTCTGATCAGTGCTGATCCTGTGAACCAGCTACACTGTCATATGGGTTCGGAGGGCTGCCTTTGAGGTATCTGACCACTTGTCCAAGAATAATATTTCTTGTCTTAATTTCAGTGCACTGTGGAAGAGAGTGGAAGTAACAGAAGTGAAATCACTGAAGTAGAGAACGTAGATCTGGAGACTAAATCTGAGTAAGTGTTAAAATTGCTTTTCCAGTCTACTGGTGTTAACTTACAACTTTGATTATAATTTTTAATTTATTCTGCATGGTGCTATTGTAAAAAGGTCTTTATGCAACACTAGTTGGGAAGATTCGTATTCATCTTAAATTTGGCTTCTGCGTTTTCTTGGACTGTATCAAATGGTACTACTGTAGAGGATAGGCGCTTCTTTCTTGAGAAATTGAAGAAAGCATTACTTTACAGAGAGTCAAATTTGCTTGGTATTTGGGGGAAGAAAGCCATAACTGAATGTTAATACAGAGGTAAGATTTTAGTGGTGAGATCGTTGCACAGGACTAAACCAGACTTTACTAGGAATGTAGATCTGTGACTTTGACTTTCTGCCACCCTTTTTTCCCAACTAATGGCTCAGCTCTTGACGCTTGCAGAAGCAGCTATGGCATGCAGTCTACTGAAGTTCTTCGTTTGTGACATTATTTTAAAATCTTTCAGAAAAGGTGGCAAAAAGTAGCTACGTGATAACTTCATATCCTCTTAATGGGAAGATAAATGGAGTTTCCACACTGTAAGACCAAAACAGGTTTTGTGCTCATATGAAGAAACTTGCATAAGTGGGTGCAAATCTTTCCAAAGACAACTCAATATAAGATTCATCTCCAGTAAAGAAAGCTATGCAGGTTGTCGGGTACTATGTAGGCTTGAATGTTAGGGAGTAAATATCATCGTTGTGAATCCTTTGCTAATCTCTCTTGTTCAGAGAACCTGAAAAAAAGGTGATTGCAAAGACAGTAGTTAGAGGATGTCGACAGCGGTTTAAGCCAAACATTACAAGAGCATCTGGAAAGAAAGAAGAGCCTGAAAAAGGTGCAGGAAAAGATAAAATGTCCCATGTGGAGCCTAAGAGAGAAACTGAAAAGGTATTTAATTGACTAAGATAACTGAAAGTAATGTGTTTAGCTAAAAAAACCTGTTGAATGTAACTGCAACACTATCTTTTTTTGCTGAACGTGACCAGAAGTCAACCACTTGCTTAATCTGCGGTGACAGTGTGATATTGCTCAGAGAATTCAGCTAAGCTGGGAGTTTTTGACACATATGGTAGATGCCAATAATCTCATGTCCTGCAGCAAATACAAGCTTATCTGTATTTGATCTAGATTTTACTGCACCTTTCTGACTAATGTGAAACTTACCCTATGAATCGTCTGTATCTGTCATAGCATCCCATTTCATATCCTATTTTGGGCAGTATCTGGCCTGTTAGGTAATCCTGTACTTGATAAATGTAAAAGAATTAATGTCTTTAATGTTCTGTTTCTATTCAGAATACTGACCAAAGTAATGGGTATGATACTACCAGTGGAGGATCTGCCGGAAAACACGAGAAGGTCTTGGAGACGGTGTCTCAGTAAGTATGTGAAAAATGAGAAGCCGTGCACTGCTCTCTGGCTCTTTGCCATCCCTCTCACTTCTGGTAGTATTATACAGAATGGTAATTATAGAACTTTCTTGGTAAATTTCTGCAGCGAGACGGAAGTTGAAGGAAGAAAAATAACTTTTTTTAATGCATGGAATACATAGATTAACCATTTTTGTTTTTAAAGCAGTGCTCTTAAATGAGGCTTTAAGCATGATAAACACAAAAAATTGAACGTTAGTCCCTTTAAAACAAAAACAAGCCTTGTCCACTAGCTTTAATACTGAAATACATACGTTCCAGTGATGGAAAATTTTATATATTTAAATAATAGGAATAAATTTGCTCTTAAAGTGTAGTTAAGTGTTAGATACCTGGGATTAGGGGAAAAAAATGTGTAGGCAGCTTAATGCATATGTTAATCAAGAAATATGTCCTGCTTTTCATTTCAGTGGAGGCTGTAGTGTAAATGCGCTGAGGAGTGTATTTTGCAGGAAAGGTTGTAAATTGTGTGTTTTTTTTTTTTATTTTTAAAGATGGATAGTTGAAGAGGATGGAGGGAGGTAAACTGGGGTTTGATCTGGTAGCTAAAATATTTTAGCTATTTCTTTCATGAACCATGCTATATAACTTGGTGCTCAGGGTGAAAAGGCATAGAAGCTGATTGCTGGTTTTAATAATATGCTGCTGACATTTTCATGTTGGTAAGATTATGGATCAAGTTAATCGTGTAGTCTCTGAATGTTTGCAGCTTAACCATTTGGACCCTTAATTAAATTAAGACCGTATGCCTCTAGAGCAGATAGGAAAATGAGAGGAGTTATTATGGGTCAGAGGTCATCCTGAGGCAGATAGGAACAGGAGAAGAGCCTGTTGCAGGGGGTGAGAAAAGGTCTATTTAGTGTGGTATCCTTCCTCCTACGAGGAAATAAGGACAGGGCAAACAAATGCTAATTTCTCAAGTACTCTTTCAGCCTCCAACAGATATACCTCTGACTTCTAAGTTAGCAGTGAATAGCTCAGTTCTAAGTAAGTGCATGTTAATAAGTAGGGGGAAGAAGAAGTAGGGGGGTGGGGGTGGGAGGAGGAGGATATTATTTCTCTGAGACCCCTCCAACTTTCATTCATCTTATGTACTTACGAATCGTATGTGTTTTTCCAGGTCTAATGAAAGAGCCGGTTTACAGGAGGACAGCAAACAGACTGTGCTGAAACCAGCACCCCTAAAGAGAGGCCGAATGCCAAGACCAAAACCTAATATAGGAAGAACTACTGCAAGGCCTGAAGTCCAAACACAGAAAAAAGATGCTGAAGAGGGGAAAACTGAATATGGAGAAATGGAAAAGGATGTGACGCTCTCTAGGAATGAAAAAAATGTTTCATGCCTCAAAAATGTGAGTTTCCTACTCATGAACAATTGGGGGTGTTTGCGGTTGCAAGTGTGTGATTAGGCACGTTTTTTTTTCTCTGAAGCCCAAGCAGATGCCTTAGTAACAAAGATCTAGGTGCATGCCACGTTGTTCTTTCAGAATTATCTGAAATATCACAGAATTTTCTAATGCTTGCATTTAGATTATGTTTTCCATGGAGAGAGATTGCATCCTATTTCTCCATTGTTTTAGGAGTGATATCATATATGAAAAGAGCAGTGCAGAACAGAAAGAACAGTCTTGGAAAATAAACCATTTAAAACAGTATATAGAAAAATAACAAATTTGAATTTTTAAAGTATCTAGTGATTTTTAATTGGTTGAACAGGAAGTAAGAGATCTTTTTGAGCATTTTTGTAGGAGAGGCACTAAAATAAACCCCTTTTTTCCCCCCTCTGCTCTTCTAAGGGAGAGGTTGAGCTTTTTTTTTTTTTTTTCTTAGAGTGAAATTTGTGTTCTTTTTAGGATGTGATGGATTATGAAGACGCTCAGCCATGCACTGTAATATTAGAAGAGGATGTCTGTGCAGATTCTGAGAGGATGGGCTCAATACGTGCAAGCCAGTGTTCCCCCCAGAAGTCCTCAGCTGAAAGCTGTGAATGTGAAGAGGAATCTTCAGATGTCTTGAATGAAGTTTCAGACTTCAGTATAGAGTAAGTTTGTTTTTTAAGTGGAGGGATGATTTAAAAAAAAATACTGATATCTCTAGGTATTTAACATTCAGCTCCAACAGCTAAAATTGTTATAGGTATAAACTCATCCTAGCTTTAAAGCTTATTTTTAATTGAGACAATACTAGAATAAAAAACACATGTGAAAGTACTAAATTTATCTTCTCTTGGCATATCGTATTGAGTCCAGTTTGTAAATAAATAGCTTTTTTTCTGATGCTCAGTTCTTGTGTTTACCTTCTGCATGTTAGTCCTAAAAATACAGCCCTATGTGCTTGCATTAAATTCTTGGGTATAAGGTTTTGGTTTCCTGTTAAGCAGTCCTTTTAAAAAGGTGGGTTCTAATAAATCCGTTGTGTAGTTCTAGATGTGATTAGACAAAGATGGAAAATTTGTAAAACACTTGTTGTGACTGGAAGTTGCAGTTGTTCTGAAATTGCTTCATTTTGTACTTGTCTTTGACCTATTTATAAGATGCATGGGTTTTTGATTGATGATGTGTTTGATATGACCTTTTTTGACCTTTTTTCAATGTCAGTAACTTTGGCTATTGCTCTAAGAAAGCTAAATGTTTTTATACTTGGCTCCTGTATTGGAGAGAATCACATACAAGTATTTCAGGCATGACCTGGCGAGCCGCTGTTGTCCCTGCCTTCAATTGTGCTTTTATTTTTTTGTTTTGTAGGGAATCTGGTCCTCAGAAGCAAGAGGAGAAAACCATTGTTTCATCAGCTCGGCTATTGAGGAGTCGATTCCAGAGACCAAGGCCAAATTTAGGAAAGATAACCGGTAGAAAGGATGTGCTGGATGTAAATAAAGGTGTATCACAGGCTGATACCAATAAGGAAGAAAGTTTAACGCAGTGTGACCGTGAATGTAGCACCCTTCCTGATGCAGATGTAAGGCTTTTTCTTTTTCTTTAATTTTAGCTGAGCCTTTGGGTTTGTGGAACTGAAGTAAACACTGACGATTTTTTTGAAAATGCAAGTTAATCTTTCCTGAAACAAAATGTTTTCAAGAGCTGAAATTTTCTAAATAGAAACTCCCCTACCTTCCACTTAAGCTATTATTCCTTGCATACAGTTACATCCACTATATATTTTGTTAGGTATCCAAATGTCTTTCTGACCTGAGGTGCGCTTGTAGAGATGACAGTGAAGAAAGAAAAGTACTACTAAAAGATCTCAAAGAAGAAATAAAGATATCAAGCAGTTTAATTTCTTTTAAACAAGTGTATGTTTTTCTTGGAAAGCCTGGGAAGTTATTAGTAAGCAAATAAGTAAGCAATGGGAGTTTTCCTGCAGGAAATACATTAGAGAGTGATTAATACTGATCTTTATGGACATCATGATTAATGTCCTTTTTGGTCTGAGTAAGTATCATGACTTTTTCTGGTTCGTTTCTTTTTATTGTTTTAGAAAACAGAAAAATATGAAGTCCTGCAGTCGTTTGAATCCTTAGGAAAGGAAAACTCTCTTGGCTTTCAGGAAGCTTCTGGAAGGCCAAGTCATCAGTCCTTGGAGATGCTTTCAAGATCAGAGGAGGGTGAACTCAAGTCTTGTCCACCTGTACATAACCAAGAAGAGACCTCAGCTACTGATGCAGGGTAAAGACTTAGCCGCTTCTGTTTCTCGATTGTGACAGTGAAGACGTGTTAAAAAGGCAATTGTTGTGCCAATGGATTTCTCACTGGCAAAGAAAAGCTAATAAAAATACCTAATGAGATGTCGGTTTTCATAGTTTCAGCATCGATTATATTGAAATTCCAGTTATTTCTATGCTAAGCATCAAATTAATGAGCATTCATTTTTACAGCTGGTATTTTGTCAGAGTTGGTTTCATCATCTGAAACACTAGAGGCGTTTAGTTTAAGCAGAAGAATGTCAGTTTGCTTTTCAGACAAACCACGTGAAAATTGCTTTCGTTTTATAGTAATAAGCGAACAGTAAGATAGTGCCTCTAATGAATTAGTTAATTCTGTTGTTGAAGTAGTTAGACTGGTGCTTTGCACTTCTTGCTGAAACAAAGATTTGTGTGTATAGGGTAAACTCAGAAGAATTTTATTTACCTGTTTCTTTTAAAAATTCAGAGAGATGTTTTATAGGTAAATATAACTGACCTGTGGTTTTTAATGGCATGCTTTTATATTAAGTTTCAGATTTTTTTTTTTTCTGTCTGACTTAGGTTTGACAGCAGAAATACGACTCAAGAAGAAAGCAAATCAGCTTCTCTTCAACCTGTCCAGTTAGTGAGGGGCCGATTTCAGAGACACAAGCCAAACTTCAGAAGCACTGTGGGAAGGAAGGAATTACAAACAGAAAAACATGAGTGGGATAAAAAACCTGAGGCAGAGCAGCTGGTATTGCAAAAAGACGAATCGGCCAATGCTGTGTCTGTTGTCGTAAGTGTAATAAGAATAAATTCTTTACCTTCAAAAAAACGCTTTCAAGTTGCATGTTCTGTGTTATGAAGTTACATTAGGACGCTTGAGAAGCATTCCCTGAAGCTGAAGTGCCATACTTCAGGGAAAACTTCCCAAAACTGTGATACGTTGAGGTAATGCAGATATGAAATGGTGACACGTACAACCTGTATTACTCATATCTTCTGGAAAATGAGGGTGTGATTTTGGTTGGACTGCATGATGGAAAAGGATTGTGCACGTTTAGGGGATTATAGAAGAAAAGTGCATTTTATATATAGCAGTATAAAATGAGCTTTTTGCTCATTTTATCTTTCCTTTTTGGATGAATCAAGTCTGTGTTGAGGAATCCAGCATGAAGTATCAAGAGAAGGTGAAGAAACAGCTATTTTTATGCAAGAATTAAGCTTTGACTGGCTTCACCATTACAATGTCTGACACTGACTCAATTTACCTGTGTAAAGTTGAGGATATTTACTGATGTGTTATGTCCCACAGACACTTTACTAGGCACTGTAGAAGCCATTGTAGTAGTATTAAACTCTCTGTAACCATCTTGTAGGTTGCATCCATGGCATCATTAATCTGCAGACATGAACTGGTTCTGTGGAGAGTTGACTGAGAACTCAAATATAGCTTAAACTTTCTGAGACTGACTTATTTGTGTAGAGCTAGCTGTGAGTACTTGTGAGCCACGCTCCCAGAGAGGAGCAGGAGAGGCATACTGCAGGTGCACTCAGTGCCCCAAGGGCACTGCTCATGCCCAGCTGAGTTAGTTGCTTCTGGTTCAGCTTTGGCTCTTCTAGACCTGTGGCCTGTGGACCATGCATACGCAGCTACTCTGTGCAGTACAAAATGGATAGAGCCACTGCAGAGTACAGAGGTCTGATGCTCCTCTGTACTAATAAAGCTGTCTTGGACCTGGAGCGCTGAGGAGTGTGTTTGAGTGGTGTCTGTGTGGAACCAGTGTGGCGAATACAGAAGTAAAACTAATAAACCTTTCTGAGTCTGAGGTTATTCTGTGACAGCTAGGGTGCGTCTGTGTTGTGCTCTGAAGTGTCCACATTTCAAAGGTTTTCCAAAGCCTTTTCAAAGGCCTCAGTGCACGGTTTCCCTTGTGCTCCATGTAATACAACTGATTATGGATAACACTTGTCTATTTATTGCTTAGTGCTTAGGTGCCTATGGTAGTGGTGAAGAAACTAACTCTAGGGAGCCCAGAACTGAAAAAAAATTATGCTCCTGCATGCCTTTTAATTGATTTATGTGCTCAGGCAGGTTAGTCTCAATAAAACAGCATGATTCTCTTCTGTGTTCATGTTGAGAAATTAACACTGAGATCCGTAGTTTATGCTTGCTTTTTTTTTTTTTTTAATAAAACGCATTTCTGTTTTAAAAATTTGCTTGCTTCTCCTTTTTCTTCATGCTACAAGTCATAATGTTTATATTTTATTGCAAATTAAAGGGTGAAAATGAAATTATATTGCATCAAGCTGATGTATTGAGTGATGAGGAACAGGCACAGCAAGAGGAGCCTCGGGTGCCCCATATTTCTGAAAATGTGTTGCGTAAGCAAAGCAGGTGAGGTTAGAGTCTAGCAAAATCAGGTTTAAAAGGTTTTCATCTGGTATATAAATTAGACACTTCTGCAAATGTCAATTCTTTTGTTCGTTGTTTCCTGTCTTTTTCTAATGCTTAGTTTTCAGTGCCTGCTGGCAGTGTCTTGCCGTGTTTGTTTCCAGATTACATTTTTAGTTGAACTGAACTAGTTCTCATTGTTTATCTGGTACAGTCTTGCTCTGTTTGAGCTCATAGCTCTTTTTGACCAAGCTTTTCTTACTGGATTTGTATTTCTGCGTACAGTGATCGTACATGTAATGCTCGTATATTTTGCAAAGTGCCGGAGTTCTGTCTTTTATTGGTCCCAGTATGCTCTTCTATTTTACTATTGCTTATGTCAAAATAAGATTTTAAACCTATATCAAGTTGCAGGTTCTTCAGTGTTGGTTTGATTAGTAACACAACTTTCTCGTTGCTGTCAAAAATGTTTTGACAATGAAATTTCCTTATTTGTTGCCAAATCTTAACCATAATATATAATGGTTATAGTTATAAACATATATAGTAATATATATGTTGCAAAGGTAGTTTTCTTGATTTTAAACAAAACATATGGTATATCAGATTTTTCTAATCATCTTATATAAGTGTTGATTAAAAATGGAATGCATGCAGAAGTGTTTTCTTCCCCACCCGCAAATGAAGTCAATTGACTTTTGTTTTGTTTTGTTTTAAATACGCTAGTGCTGAAAAATCCATTTTCCCGGAAGGCAAGCTGGCTGCCCTCAAACCAGCACAACTCTTAAGGAATCGATTTCAGAGGGCTCGACCTAACCTAGGAAGAGCATGTAGCAAGAAAGAATCTTTGGTGGTGCAAAAGCTTGCTGCTCCAGTTGAGGAGGAAGCGGAAAAAGGAGAGAGTCTCCCTGTGGTAGAAGAGTCTGAGGAACCTCTTTCCTCACAAGTGAGAATTCTGTCCAGATCTTTTGGACTGCGCTTATTGATACTTGTCCCTGCACCCATTGCTTTTATGAAGTGTCTAAATTAGCTGCTTTCAACCCATAAATTAATTTTTGACTAGTGAGAATTATATTCTTGCTGGATACTTGCACCTAATATGAGGTCTTTTGCACTACTCCTGTCTACGTTTTTTGTTAAAGACTCATCCTGCTCTTCACTTACATTTTATATTTCAGTCACGTACATGATAATTAATAGTTATGTGCATAGCATATTTCTGCTGTGGGGTTTATTCTGAACCCACTGGTGGCTGATCACAAAGGAATATATTGATGCCTTCAAGGGATCAAATGCCTTCAAGGGAGAAGGGAACAGTGATAGACGCCATAAGCTGCTATAAAATTTTTAAACAAACTTTTGTTTGAAATTAACCTCTAGCTTGTAACTTGCAATGTTTTATTGTACATCTGATATATTTTGTGCTAATACTGTCATTTCCCCCAAATTTAAGGATGACATGGAAGCATTGTTGCCTGTGGGGAATTCGGCTAAGAATGACAGTCCAGAGACAAATACAAGAAGTATGAGGTCAGAAATACTCTGTTCCCCTGAAAAATCACCAGATTGCCCCGATGAGAGAGAGCAAAAAGAGTATCTATCTACAGAGGCTGTAGGAAGCATTCAGGATACCCCGGAGAGGTAAAATTCCCTGTTGACAAACTAAAAAAAGCTCTTTTTTTAAAAAACAAACAAACAAACAAACAAACCTTAATGTGTTTATCCAGTTATTTTCATTTAGTGCTTGCTTCTTGAAGTGTAGGCTGAGCTATATCAGTTGTATGTGTTAACTGCCATGAAGGTCACTAGGTGGCATCCTTACATAATTTTAAGGGTATTTTTCAATGGCATCACATAATTTTTCAAGACTGTTTTCCTCATTAGAAAAGGATATTTTGCAGATAGGAGTAGGACAGTAGGAGCAAGCAGTCGGAGTTCAGCTGTGTGAATTTTTCATTAACACACACCTAAGGTAGAGCGGACTATGGATGTGGACCCTTGAAAGGAAGACAAGCTCACTTTAGGTTATTCTACCTAGAGCAGTTTGCAATGAGCTTGTCTTAAATGTATTCCTTGTTTCTTCAGTTTTCCTTTCTAGCAGGAGAAGTTTGTGCAATGCTTTGGCCGGGGGGGGTGCCTTTTATGTATGTGTAATATGAGGCAGATTGTGCCATTCACTTATAACAGTTCTGGGCTATGTTATAAGCTGTCTTTTGCATAATCTTAACTAATATAGAGCAGCCTAGGATCCAATTATTTTACTGTTCTCTGAAATTCTCCTCTTGCTCCTTTCTGTCTCTGAATCTCTGTTTGGGATCTCTTTCATGACTTGTGTCGTAGCCATATCCCAGAGTCTTTGTGCAAAGGATAGTAAGAAAAGAGCCTTACCTTACTGAGTCTTCTTGGCTTCTGTGATGGGGGAAGATCCTCAATTTTGAATTTAAAAGTCCAAGATTTTAGTGATCTTACTGATACGAATGAAATTCTCACATCTCTTCAAGCACATCCTGTTTAAAGACTGTAGTACCTTGAACGTTGGAATTAATGAAGATGCTTCCATGGCTGCTTAATTTTTGGGGCCTGTGGTGGCATAGGCTGAAACTTTCGTCTGTAGCTGACTTTGTTTTGCTTGCTCATCCAAAAGCAAACTGAAAGGTCCATTACTGAAGAAAAGCAAATTATCTCCTTTCTGCATTGCTCTTTTTCTTCCCCTAGTGAGTGGAGTTTAATAAATAAGTAGAGAAAATGCAGAACACTTAGGTCAATTTCTGGGTGGATGTACTAAATATTTGTATGTGAGCCAGGCTTGTACAGTCTATTTAATAGTACCTGAGCACTAAGATTTAAAACCTTAATATTTTGTAGGTCCAGTGATAAATTCAGTTCTGGAGAAAAAAGTGAATCAAGTGATACAAAAGCTTTGCATCAAGTGAAGGGCCCCCTCTGGAAGCCAAAGTCAAACCTAATGAGAGGTACTAGAAAAAGAGATGATTCTGAAGAAGGTGGAAGCAGAAATGAAGACAGCTCTGCGATTAGAAATGCCGAAGAGTGTTTGGTGTCAGGAAAAACAGATGTGTCAATGGTAAGTGCTGAACGTTTAGTTTGGGCCAATTTATATCTTAATTCTTGTGCTTAACTTTTCAGAACTCATGCTGCAGAAACCCAGTATATGGATATGAATGGTTAAAGTGATTCTTTTCTTTTTTTACTTCACCAATGGAAGTGTTGTTGACTGAACGTACTCAGAATCCAAAAACTGTGGGAATATTTACTATGTACTGTCAGTTCTAAGTTTTAACAATTTACATGGCCAAGAGTCTTCATTAGCATAAATACATGCTAACCCTGTTACCAGCAAATTTAATGTCTGCTATGCATTGAACAGTGAAAATTAAGACAGCTGTCTAATGCCACATACTTACGGTTAGTGACACATACCTGAATAGCCTGTTTAGACTTCCTTCTGCTTAAATTACATCAGCAGACCTGAGCTGGCCCAGACTGCTTCTTTCTGTCTATAGTTGTGGTATCTGAATCAAGTTGCTCTTTATTTTCTAAATAGATCACTAGAAATTTTCAATTAACATACGTTTTGGCCAAGTGCCCATAGTTGATGGGACTGCACTTACTGATGTGTTTTAAAAAGTTACATGTTTTGAACAGAATTGTTTACTGGGTTCAAATGAAAGTTTTACCTCCATCCCAAGCAACCGTTTTGTGAGAATAGATCTGTAGGAACTCTGTCAAAGCAAACACTGTAAGTGAGCAAAAATTTGGGTGCCTTGAAACTACAGCTCCTGCAGGAGAAAGACTTGTGACACAACCTGCTTAATAGAACGCTGCTTAGGTTCTGAGAAAACTTTCTGTTTGTATGTTTGAATAACGTTCAAACTCTGTTCTCTAAATTGTGGTAGCTATTTCTTCCTAACTAGTTCCCAGGGCAGAAAACAAATAACTCTTCCCTTCCCTCTTTTTGTCCTCTAAAATAATAGGTAGCTTTAGAAAACAGAATATAGTTCCTCTTTCCAGCTGCTGAAGGGCTACTGCTCTTGATAAGTTGAGCGAAGACCTGATCTGTTAATTAGTAGCACTGGGAACACATGTGCCATGAAATAGCATTTTTGCTATAGAGCCTGAAATTAAAGAAAAAGGGAGAGGGAGGGAGAGGAAAGAAGTCTTAAGCTAGCAGCAGAGATGACAATTGGGCATGTGTTCAAGAACTTCAAACTTTGTTCTTTAAATCTGTTTGTCACTGAAACCAGTTAAAAATGGGTTTGGCACTTAACATGGTAATAATTGTTTCATTTGTTCAGCAAAACTCCAGTAACTTAGTGGAAGCTGCATCTTCCTCAGAGGCTACAAGAAAACATCCTTTTACGGACTCTGAAGAAACATTCTGTAAAAGAATCAAGCAAGATGGTAGATTCCAGTCTCCAGAGATTTCATCAGAGAGTGAGAGTCAAGAAGAAGATTCTCAGCCTTCTACTTCTCAGGAGAAAACATCAGATCATCTCACAAGGTAAAACAAGCTTCTTTTAAGCTCAACTGATTGGTTTTGTTTTTAATTATCAGCCATAGTTCTAAAGTTGCGTATCAGCACATACAGGATGTCAGTCCTTGGGCCTCCCATATTTCAGGTGGGCATAGCTGTCCCTATGCCTTTTACCCTGTCTGTACTCTCATCAGACAGACACAACCAGCATTCTGAACAACTCATCCCAAAGTTCCTGCTTCTGCTTTCTGTTCTCTCTCTCTCTCTATCATACCAGTCGTAGCTCCTGGGCCCACCTTGCTTGTACTCTGCCACCATAGCAGTTCCTGATTTTAAAGGCGAGGACCTTCAAGTACCCATGCTGGGGACAAAGGCATTGTGGTAATGTCCTAAATGAAAACTCTATGGTGGATGCCTCTGCTGCTATGTATTCTTCACCTCCATGTTCCAAGGATGCTGGGGTTTTTTTTTAGGAAACGAGGAATTACTTTTGGTATCCAAAGTGTTCGTGCTCCCCGTTTTGAGGAGGGAAATGGTATCCAGCTGATTCTTGAAGAGATTGTTGTCTGAGAAACACGAGCAGACAAATAGTTATTGGCTAATGATCCTAATTTCTAGGCGTAAGTCAGAGGAGCTAAAATCTCACAGTTTGGGGTTCCTAGTGTAGTTTTAGTAAAAGAGAACTGGAAATGTTCCCCTGATAGAAAAGCATGCAACTTCCAAGTCCCTCAAAATGAGAATTAATCCACCTTTTCCAATCAAAGATTTCTGCATCCTATACATTTCACTGTGTGACTTTTCAACACTCAAACTGTGTAATATGCATGTGCAACCAGTACTTTGTACGTATATGAAATAATTAGAATTTCTAATGAGATAGAGTCTGGACACACTTTTCTCAAAAAATAACTTTTGCTAGAAGGTAACTAGATCACATTGCTGGTCAAAGTGGTCCTTTTCTATTCAGTGAGCTTATATTGATTTGTTGTGTTTGTTTTTTGGAATGTCTTGTATTTCATTGTTTTTAAATGTGCTTTTGTTCTGTACTTCAGAAGGCAGTCCAGAAGATCATCAAAACGGATAGCCTCAAAACAGGTCTCGGAGCTAAGAACTGCTTCTTCTTCTGCCTCTGAATGTGAGCCTGATCGCAGTGAAAAGGGAAATCAAAGACAAAAAAATAAACTGAATATTACTAAAGGCAAAAGTCTGAAATCTGCTCACAGAGGGAAGTCTGGGAAAGAGCACAGAAGTTCAAAGACAACCTTGGTGACTCTCCGGGCTTCGCAAGAGGAGGAGGAGGATGAGGCTGATGACTTTGAGCCAGATGATGAAGATCAATGTTTTGCACCAGAGGAAGTAAACAAGGCTCCAGTGTTTGTTCCTGTAGGTCTTCGATCTCCAAAACCTGTTCCTGTTCAGATAGAGGAAACCATGGAGGAGGTATGATGTTGCTGTGTTGTGCACGTGTACTTTTGTTTTGATTGTTTAAACTGATGCTTTTCTTGTAACTGCATCTCTGAGTACTTTTTTTTTTTTTCCCAGTTTAGTTTAATTCTTAAGAATGGTATTGACAGTAGTAAGGATGCTTAGTTGAAGCGCATACTTGATTTTGAACAAAATGCTCCATTAGTCTAAGGTCTAGTTCATGTTTTGAACTGTAAAGCTCTGCAGAGTGTTCACTGGTTTACTTATTGGGATTGGATGTAGGCACAGCCTCCTGTGTTTACTGCATAATTTGAGGCCCAAGATGGAACAGGGGGAGCATTTCAACTTTACGTTTGAATGTTAGGAAATGAGGGAGATGTTTTGGTTTGTGTGTTCTCTCCCCCACACCCCTTCAATCTTCCCAGTCAAGAAACTTTAACTGGTAGATCATTCCTGCCTTACAGCCTTATGTAGCGTTATATATTGTGTGCAAGTGACTAAAAGGACAATTAGCTTTAGGTAAAAGAGCAAGAGAATTAAAAGCTCAGTCAAAGCACCGAGGGAAACTCTGGAACAGACAGAAAAGTTGTTGCAGGGGGAGCTCTGCTGAATCCCTTCATCCTGAAGATTTGGAATATTAAGTGTGGGGATGGTGTTCAAGTTACTTGGTTTAACACACAGGAGCCATCGGGTAAGGGAGGTGATCAGATACCTGAGAACTCAGCTGTCAAACTTAAGCAGGTCAGTGCAAAGTACGTGTGAAAATGCAAGCTTTTGAAAACTACCCAAATAGAGCAGCATTTTTCATAAGAGTATTACCGGCAGTAGTGTAACCTTTCTGTCAGACTTCAAGTCCTTGAGTCTGAAATGTGAAGTGACTGAAGTTCTCAATGGAAAGATAGTGTTAAAGAGGAAGAGAATACCGGCAAAACTTTATATAAAAATTTTTCCGCATACATATTATATGTATTCGCTTTGTGTGTGTGTACGTATATAAATTTCTTTACATATATGCATAAGTGTGTGTGTGTATATATATATACACACATACGTATATAAAATTTCACTGTGTGCATACAGATAAAATTTTGCTACATACCTACATGATGTAGGCTCTGTGTGTGTGTGTGTGTATTTATGTATTTTCCATACATTTGCTTTGTAAGGCTGAACTGCTTTTTTCCTGAAGACCTAAAAAGCAGAAAAAGTGAGAAAACAAACAAAACCTTTTTGAGGTAAATAGCCAGCATGAAAGATATCAGCTAAAAAGCTTAGTTTGGTAGAGTAATAAGCAATTGGAAGTAAGGTCTTATGGTTGTCTGCTTTCAATTACAGTATTATCCATTCTATCTCTGTTTCATGTAACTCCTTTCTTCTCAAATCACATGGTATGTACTATAGAACTTAGTTTTTGGAAGGGATCCCATTAAACGTTCAAGATCAGCTAAGCGTATATGGACTCTAAAAACTGTATTCATCAGATTTTCTTTTGGGGCTAATGAGCTGAAATACCTTTTAATTATTTATAAATAAATCATTTTTACAGCTGGAAATATCTGCGAATGTCCCAGATGTGCAGGTCGTTACTGATTTTGAAAGTCTGTCTCACGTGTCTCTCCAGCCAGTGATGCAGAGGGAGGAAAATGTGAACACCTCACCAGCTGTAAGAATATCTTCTTTTTCTGGCTTCATAGCAGATATAAAACTACATGGCCAACGTCAGTTTACTATACCTGCTTACAATAGTATAGCTTAACAAACTCTTAGCTGTCCCCACAGATATGAGGGACATAGAGGAAAACTGTATGAATAAAACTGTTAACCTGTAAAATACCATTTTAAAGCCAGGGGCAGAGAGTTTGCTGGTAACCATTTTATTAAAATTGCAGATCCATTTTATATAGAAGTGTGATATGTTTTTTTTTGTCTTGTTTTTTGTTGTTTAAGGAAGCAAACATGCCTGAAAATCCAAAGGAGGACAAAGGTAGATATGAAATAATCTTGTTATGTCTTGCTCATCGATTTATTATCGATATGTAGGTATTCTTGATGGAAGTTTGGAAGTTCATATATCTTAACACAGCCAGGCTCATGAGATTTGGGATGCGTTTATGTTTTGGAGAAGGCTTAAAACACTTCTTCCTTACTGTTCTCTGTCAATTTGGTGGACTAAGCACTGCAAGACTGTTTCTTAGGGTCAAAAATGTACCTTTTGTGTGTCCCTTGTATCAGTTTCACATGGTTAGCTGTGCAAGAAGAGGAAACTTTGCAAGAGCTTACAGTATGCACTTGCTGTGTGAGTGAATGGTACAAAGAATGTACAAAGAACATAACTTTGTCCTTGCCATCTCTATGGTCTCTGACTATAGTATCTTAAACTGGTAAGACAGCATGTGCAAGAGGGAAAACAGTGATCATAGTCTTCCAGAAGCAAATATTCTTTTCATATGAGACAGGTTACAAACCCTGACTGAGGTATTAATTTTTAGAATAGCTTTTATTTTGAAATTTAAATGTGTTCTCAGTTTTGCTGTGCAGCGGTTTAAATTGAGTGGGTTACTGTCCCTTTTGAAGGTGGGGAAGCCTTTTTCCTATTCATCTATTTCATTGCATTAGGTTTGGAAGATGGAAATGTTTTATTTTATATGACCAGTTAGTGATAGGTGAAGGGAGATATTCTGGGTAGAGATTAAGAGTGAGGAGTTTAAACTACTGGTCAGCACTACAGGTATGGGTATCTTGATTAAACTGTTTTTCTCTCTCTTTTTCATTAATGGGAATAATGATGCTGCTTAATGTTTCTGCAATAGTTTGGATTTAGTGGATGAGAATTGCTGTCTGTCTACAAACATCTTGATCCATGAAAGGCAACAATTTGAAAATATGTACTTTACTAATGATGTCAAATGCTTTTTGAATGTAATGAATGATAAGTGAATTTAATGGTAAACATACTTTAACCTGTGTGTGAACAACTCTGTAGGACTTAATGATGGAAGCACTGAAGCTGCTATGACTTTACTTGCAATGGGTGATCCGACGTTCCAGTTGAAAATAAACACTGAAGGTATGATCTGATTTATGGGACGAAGCCTTCTTTGTGCTTCATGGGTTTGCCTAAGGAGGGATGGAACAGTGGCTGCAAAGCTGCTTCTACGTGCTACTGCATAGCAAGAGGTCAAGAATCTCTTCTACATTTAGTCCTGTTAAGTTATAACACATAGGCTAGGCAATGCTGCCTGGCCTGGAAAAGTGAGGCACTGTTTTGGATACTGCCAGCTGCAGCACTTTGCTACAAAGATGTTTCTGGAAGCTCTTTTAAGAAAGGATGTGTTTGAATTAGTCTGTGTTGCTCACATAAGTCAGGCAAAAGAGAAGAACCAAGCTTAAATGTCCCTACATGTCAGTGGTATTTTCTGGTCTTTAACGTGAAAAATAGTTTTTTGTTGTTGGTGGGTTTTTTTCCCCCCTCTTAACTAGCTATAATCTGAATTTACCAGTGTTTAGTCTAGTTTTTGAAATTGGCTTTCATGGGTGAATGTTAATCTCTGCCTCGCTGCTACGAAAAACTGACCTTAAGATTGCATTTATCTGGGACTGAAGTTTGCATCTTTGGAGAAAGCAGATTTTATCAAATGAAGTTTGAATTTGATCATCTGTGAGCAGCTCTGTGCAGTTACAAAACCTGAGTCTTTTTAATGAGACTTTTCTGTTTTGTTTATTGTTCTAACCAGAACGGACACAGACGTTACCTGCTCAAGATGATTTACATGTGGCCAGTAACCTTGTGACCCGTGCTTATTCAGAGCAAAGTGTAATTTCTTGTCAGTATTTACTTTCTTCACCTCCTTCTAACACGGAACTGATCCCTTCCGAGGATGGAAGCAACATTAATCTAGAGGGCCAAAGCACCGGCACAGGAACAGGTGGCGAAGGATATTTTGAGAAAAATGCTACAGATACCAGGTGAAATTACTACCTTAATTACTTTGGAGAGGGAGATCCTCTGACACTGCTAACCTTTAACAGGTTCTTTCTGGCACGTTTCTTGAATTTCAGGCATCTTGCTTTAGTGAAGGTTTCTCAGCTTGTGTAATTTGCTATGTAATCTGGAAAAACCCTCTTGAATTTTCCTTACCACTTTTATGAGCTGTTAACACGCGATTTGGGGAAATTTGGTGGGGGAGAGGGGAGTTAGAACTTAGTTCATATGGATTTCTCTTACTTTACCAAGCTCGTTTCCTGAAGGTACTGAACAGCTGATGAGGCCAAGGCAGGTTGCTTAAATGTCATGGCTCCCATGGGCTCTGATTAGAGCAAACAAATGTCAAGGAACTGCTTGAGTTGCTATCATTTTTCTCTTGTTTTTTTTAAATTTTGTTTAAAAAAAAATTACAAAATGTTGAAATAGCTTGATGGAACACCTTTTCAGAAAAATAAGGTTCATTGCTTGGACAAACTATCAGATTATACCTCTCTTAACAGTTATAATCAAAGATTTTTTGCTTTGAGTTTTGTGTTTCTTTTATTATATTATTAACCAGAATTTACTAGCTCTGTTCCACATCTCCCATCTGTTCTCTGTGCAGTGATCTTTGCTGAAAATAGTAATTTTGTTGCACTGTCAACTGTCAAAATCAAGAATTTTATCAATTTTATTTTCCTTTTTACCAGCAGTGATAGCTCCATGCCTATGGTGAACAGTCTAAGACTGACAAGAGGTAGACTCCTGAAGCCTGAGCCAGATTTTGGAGTATTGAGGTCAACTAAGAACATTATTCAGAAGCCTGTTAATGCAAATGTACTTGTGGAAGAACTAGAGCAAGTCCAAAGTGGTAAGCCTGTCTCTTATCCTAAGGCTTTATAAATAGATTCCTGTGATAAATTCACATTTCTTTCTGAAACAAAACTGAATTAAAATCAATATCCACTTTCTGTTTGTGTTCGCAGATGATGCATCACCATTATAACAGCAGGGCGTCCATTTATGGCATAGCTTTATACATAAATATGCCTTTCAGTATAAAATTAAATGAAATCTGTGTAAAGACTTTTCTGGGCAGGTCTTAAATTATCTGGAAAGCCCTTAAGTTACTGGGATGGTCTTGACAGCAATAGTACAATGCAGTATACTTTTTTCCCTTTCATTAACATCATTCCATATATATCTCTGTTTCAGACATGCACACACGTATATATGTATACATATCATATATAAACTTGTTTTTAAATCTTTAGAGGCCACAGTTCTGAGGGATACTGCAGAAATGCAGAAAGTGGAACTACAACAGGTCAGACCAGCTGCGGGTAGTTCTTTAGATCTTCATGATTTTGCAACTGGAAGTATGGAACCTGTCAAGCAAGTAGACAAAACGGAGAGGTAGGAATAAATGGTCAATTTACATTGAATGTATTCTTAAAGTTTCTTAAAATATGCAGCTGAAGTGCATGGGAAGTACACGCCTGTGATGGAAACTGTATGCCTGCAGGAATGGTGTGTATTAATGCACACAGATTTTACAATATAGACTGCCTTGTTTTTAAGGTTTTAAACTCTTGCATGTTGTCCTACAGCTTTTGAAAGTAAAGTGTTAACTTGTGTATTTGCCGTTTCAGTTCTTAGTAATCACCTTGCTACTTAAATGTCTCCCATAAAACTGCATCTGAAAAGAAATGTTAAGGATGTAGTCACAGAGAAACAGAACACCTCTTCAAAAACTAATTCTCTGTGACTATGTAAGCATAATATTCAGTAAATACTTATGCAGGATTTATTCCATGTCACAGGATGATATGCTTAGTTAGTTTCAAATTAACTATATATATCTTTCAGAACAGAAAAAGAGATGAGAAATGCTTGTGGAACTTCAGAGGAATTAAAAGCTCTAACTGCATCACCAAAACCTGAGGCTTCTGACCTGGGACAAGAGCTTTATCCAAATCAAAGTTCTGTGGATGGACTTCCTGAGCAAAATCCTAGTCCGGCTGAGCATAATCTGTATACAATCAACTTAACTCAGGTAAAGAACTTAATTTAATTACAGTCTAGAGATGCCCAGTTTCTGAAACTCTGTATGGGAAGAGGTTCTCAGTGCAAATGTACTCACTCACCCATTTTACAGAGCTGGTACTTCAGCTGGTGAATGAAACTTTTATTTTTTTGTGTAGGCATAATCAAGCTTAGTCATTCAGGCGAACCCCATCTTCTCGAGCCTCAGTTTATAGCATTTCAGGGCTATAAATGATATATGCTAGCAAAATTTTGAGGAATTTTTTTAGAGTTTTGATGGTAGAAGTTCCTCATTTATTTATTTGGTCTGACTTCTCATGGCTATATTTGTTTGGTTAAAATATCACTGCTGTCTTTATAATTTCACAGACAATTTATTTTGCTTTGCTTAAACAGACTTTCCTTTCTTTAAAACAAACCTTGGCAAAACTAGATTTGAAGTCTTGTATTCAAATCGGTTAACGTATAACAAAATATCCCTCTAGAGGATAATTTAAAAAAAAAGTGTTTGGGATTTAGCTGATGAATATACTCTAGTCTGAAAATGGCATATTGGGTATCCAAGAGACTTAAGCTGTTAACTCTTTTACCTGTGGTCGTTTATTTCTCCTCACTTTTACTGTGCTCTTTCCCCTTTATTTTAAAACTCAACTAAGAGTTGTACGTATCTTGTTTGTCCATAATGCATATAGTCTTCCATTTCCATCCTTTGCTTTGCAGTAGTTTGTGTATCCCTGCTCTAGTATAAGTGAGAAATGTTCCTGAGAGAGGGGTTCATTTTTCTAATTCCCTCAGGTTTTCTAGTGTTGCCTGAGGTCAGTGTCTGTACAGTTACCATGGAACAGCTAATGGGTGGTGACTTGTTTTCCCCAGTGCAATCTGTTGATGTGTCAAGGCTGATCTCAACTTAAAACAAGGTACAGAAATGAATTGGCTTTTACAGGACTGGCAGTCGGTGTGAGAGGAGGCAACTTTCAATGTAGTAGGGGTTTTACTTTTTTTGTGTGGTGGTGGTGGTTTTTTTTAGCAATGTTATGTGCCATAAAAGGGAAGAGAGATTAGTTGCAGAGCTTGGCGTTTTTCTTTTGGCGCTTGCTGGTTTTGGAATAGTTGGGGGAATTTGTGTTCTTAGCACCACTCAGCAGTTTATTGTGTGAGTCAGCCCTGACAGAATTGTACTGTAGGAAGCATACTTTTTTTTTTTTTTTTTCAACAAACCATCAATAGAGACAATGAGAGACATATAAATGATATATAAGTACTGCCCAAGTGTTTCTGGTCAGGCTGGTACGCTTCAACCTAGAACAGCCAGAAGTAGAAGTTGGCAAATTGCAATTATGATGATGTTACTAGATTTTCTGACTCTTCAGTATTTGACATGCTTTATTTCTTTCCTATTTTCTAGAGTTATTTCTCAGATCTCTTAATTTGTTTTATTGCAAATGTTTTATTTCTAGAGTGAAGCATGTGTTCAGGATTTTCAACAGCAATATATAAGCAGCACAGAAGAGACTTCAGGTATAACGTGGTAATATTCAAAGTTAGCAAAATCTGACGTTTGTGTATCTTGTAATCACATGAAGATGAATCAAAAAATTAAAGTGTTTTCATTGACATGATTTAAAACAATTTACTTCATTAACAAAAATAATGACCCAGAGTGTAATAGCATTCTCATCACTAACCTCTTATCTTCATTTCATTAACACAAACTAGACTTGGTAGCTTTTTGAATGGTACCTCATTAAGTTTAAAAATCAGTGGAGGAGAAACTTCTTGCTCTTTCCTCCCTGCTCTGAGCTGCTGCTGCTTACCTTGTGCTGGCTTCAGCACTTTTTAGACCTCTGTGAGCCTCTAGCTCACTAATCTGTCAGAAATTGAAGGTGGGCAAGGGGGAGAGAGAACCTGTGTAGTGTTCCACAGGTTTAGTGAGCTATAGTGGCTAATAAGTGTCTGGTGAGTGCCAGTGTCATAGCTGTGTGGGTAAGGAGGTAGGACTGTGTGAATATGGAGCATGAAAGAAGGAGAAACAGGGAAAGAAATGGGAGAAAGAAACTAGACCTTCCTTTTCAGGTGTAGCAAGTCAGCAAATCAGTTCCTAACTGATTAAATGTGATGAAAGGTACCAAGATGATAGCTGCTTTTCCATAACACAAGTTGAAATGGAGGTGGTTTGGAACCAATATTTGACTAAGAGATGGGAAAATCACTGTGTCAGAAGCCCAAAATACTTGCTTTAAATGGAAACTGCAATTTTCCTGCCAAAGGTGTAACTTCTGAGGATGTGCAAGAGGTAGGGCGTGTATTTCTTCCAGGATGTCTGTTGCAAGGGTCTTAGGAAAGAGCTTCTTAAATTATCTTTAGGTAAAGAACCAGAGTGAGTTCAGGTTAGAGTCTAACAGCTTTAAATCAGAAAAAAATGAGAACTGTTTTAGCTAATTGAGCAGCACTTTGGCTTTCTATCTTTTGAGAAGAACCTTAAAAATGGTACCTCCTGAAATTCATTCTAACAGATGGCAATTGGCAGTTAGCTGTTAACATCCATCTGTTGGCTAAATTATGTATATTTCTCATTTATTAAATTGATGACTATTCTTTGTTGGTCCTCTTCTGCAAGTCAACAGTAAGGAAAACAGAACCTTGGGATTATTGGCAAAACAGCAGACTCCTACCACTTTGAAGAAGTAAATCTTAACACCTGGCATTAGCAATTAGAGGGCCATTTGACCCAGGTTACACAAGCTTAATTAAACTGCAAGTTATTATTTAATGCTAGAATACCCATTTTAAAAAGCTTGATTCCTACTAGACATTCTTACTCTTTTTTGTGAATGATAATTGGGACTCTACTGCAATGGAGGGGCCACAGTGGGTAGTGATTGGTATCTCCTCTAAGAAGAAAGGAAGCATATTGTCTCCAGGATGTTCCCAGTCCCCTTTTCCCTTGAAAAATGAACACCTAATTGCTGTAGGTGGTGAGGGCATAAAAAAGGTAAACAGTGTGATTTTTAAACTGGAATGATAGGCTTTTATTATTTATTTACTTCCCTGAAAAAAATTACAGTAGTGAATGATGATCGTAGCAGATGTCCAGAGGAGGAACAGACATTCATTTTAACATTGGTGGAAATCCCAGCTGACTCAAGAGAGTACCATGATGCATCTGCTTTGCTGGAACAAACTTCGGAACCATTGCTACCAGCCCCGATACTTCTCAGCCCAATCAATGCAAGTGGAACAAGTGTGACTGGAGCGGAGAGGTACATGATTTACTCTTGCACATCTTAGGTGAAACATTTTCTGTGAACCTTGGATTCTTCTTTAAGAAGTTTTAATGTGTAATATTAAAACTTACACACAGTAGAACTTCTTAGAAGAAGAAATACAAGAGAAAAAGCAATCATCGCAGTAGACTGGGCAGAGACTTAAAAAGCAAATGAAATGTTTTCCAGTCAGATTTGAGAAAGATTTCATCAGCGGTTTAAAGCTACAATGTTTTAGCTATCCGGGATTTTGGTGACAACCCTAACTTTGGTTCTGATTTACCCTTTGCTGCAAGTCTTTCTTTTTAGTAGAAGTTTGGTCCAGTCTATTAATGCAAGTTCTCTTCTCAGATTAAAACTATGGGCATGATGTTATTCCACACCACTGTGGAAGGCCTTGCCCTGTGACCTCAGAAGTCCTTCTCTTGTTTATTAAAAACAGGTCTTTAAGAGTGAATCTGGGGTGGGTCAAGCACCCTGTAAGTCGCTGCTAGGCAGAGGCCAATCCCCAGGCATGGTCATGACACGCCACAGAGCACGTTCCCCAGTGGCTGTTCAAGTTGCAGCATCACCTGTGTCTGAAGCTTCGATCTAGACAGACCCTCTGACAGCAGATGCAGCTCTACAGGTGTCAGGCTGCAGGGAGTGCCCAGGACCTCTCCGTGAGGCCTGGGCTGATAGTCAGCTCTCCTGCGCAAGGTGTGCTGTGGTTGGCCAGTTGCGTCACTAGATAAAGGAGTTAAGGGAGGAAGTCGGTAGGCTGCGTAGCATCCGAGAAGATGAGCAAGAGATTGACAGGGTATTCTCAGAGACTGTGCAGCTCCTGGAATCCCCACCCCCCACTGCAGTGGACTTGCCGGAGGGCTCCGTACTATGTGTAACGGTACATCATAACACTGTTGAAGAAGGCTGGAAACTGGTCACTTCTCGTTGAAGAACAAGAGCTTTTCTCCTTCTAAGGCAAATCTTGAGGAGGAGCAAGTTTAGTGCCCTCCAAGCTGAGGAGGAGCTGGGCGTGGCCTCAAAGGAGGCAACTGGCCTGACAGACCCTGTGCCGTGCAGGAACACCCGGAAGAAGCGGTGAGTGATTGTTGTGGGTGACTCCCTGCTGCAGGGGACAGAGGCACCTATCTGTCCACCTGACCTCTTGTCTAGAGAGGTTTGCTGCCTGCCAGGGGCTTGAATAAGAGATGTCATGGAAAGACTGCCAAGGCTTGTCCATGCATTGGACTACTACCCTCTGCTGCTCTTCCATGTGCGCACTAATGACACAAAAGGCAAATTGGATAACATCAAACGGGACTTCAGAGCTCTGGGAATGGTGGTCAAGG